CTCTGGAGCAGGATTATCGCCAGTCCATTTAATTTTGTTCCTGTTTTATTACTGCGTGGCCACTTCCCTCAGTTGTTCCACCCAAGTTGAAGTCCTCCAGTATCCCAGAATGCTCTGAGCTCCATGGAGCCTGATGCTTTTCTCTCCAGAGTTCAGGTGGTGCCCACCACCCCATGCCCGATTGGCCAGGCTGCCAGCCAGCTGGATGCTGCCTGAGCTTCAAGGGCCACAATCCTTTTTTCCACAGAGTGCCCAGCAGCCTTGATGCCTCCCACCACTGCCCAAATCAACTCTGCTTCCCCTGACAGCAGTGCATGGGGCAGGTGCCACCCCAGCTCCAGAGACAACAGTATTGTTCCCTTAGAGCTCAGAGTGAGTGAGCTCCAGGGCTGCTGCCCCAGAGCTCTCTGGTATTACTGAAACTAACACAGAAGCTCTGTGTTGAGAGTAGGGGCTGTCAGGGCATAAGCCTGGCAGCCCTGTTCTCAATGAGGAACAACAGTGTCAGTTTAAGTGAGACCAAAAAGCCCCAGGGAAGCTGTTTCCATGGGTCTTTCTGGTCTTGCTGAAACTGATATGCTGGTAGGCCCACTCTCTGCCCAGCAGGGGCAGCCATGGGCAACTGGTGCCACCTTGGGGGAGGGGGGCACATGCCCGCCCCAGAAACCATTCAGCAACTGGAGAGGCATCCCCCAGGGCCAATCTTGCTGATGGGAGGAGCACCACCCCCACTCCCCGTCTGACGCTCGCAGGGCGTTCCCACCTGCCCCCCTGCCCGTCCCCTAAGAGGGGAGCATGGCTTGTCAGGGGGTGTACCAGCACTCTCATGGGGTGCACATGCACCCCTGTTCACCCCCTATGTGTTGCCACTGGGAGCAGCAAGTGGGTCCTACTCCTATTCCTACCCCTGCTCACCAAGCCTCTAGTGGCAAGTCACAGCTGTGCAGGTGAAGAACATTCAGAGCAGATTTTTCGTTTGACCTTGTGACTGCTCCACTTAGCCAAACAACACTAAGCTGATTAACATTTCTTCAGCTTATAGCATAAGGTCTAACAAGGCCCTTAGTTGCAAATGTTTTTGCAAGCAACAGGAATAAAACCTAGTACTAGCATACAAAATGTAAATAGACTTCAGATCATAGAACCTGCTTGCTTATTCACTTTTATATCATGCTTCTGTACAACATTTAGAACGTTTAATTGTTGCTAAATATAAGAAGAGGGCTTACACTTTAGCATTTTAGACTTTACAAACAAAATGTTTTTTCCACAGCTGTTTGGCCAGCCATGGTAAGTTACATATAGTTATATTGAGAATTTTGCTATGGCATCTGGGTTTTCCGTTACCCATGGAAAAACAGAGAAAACCACAGGTTTCCCCTTATCAGAGAACACATGGATTTATTCTTTTAGCAGAGAAACCCACAGATTCCCTGCTTCTGCAGAGTTCTGTAGGCTGGTTGATCTCCAGTCTGCAAGAGCTGTTTGCAAACAAAGCGAGAAACCCCCAACTGGGGGCCCCCTCTGGCAGGGCTGGGGACAAGAGGCACAAGCAGGGTGAGGGGCTGTTGTGGGACCAGTGAGGGGCACCAGCAGGGTTAGCGGGCCTTTGGGGTGAGTGAGGGGCACCAGCAGGCTTGTGGGGGCTTTAGGGAAAGTGAGGGGCACCATCAGGGTTGCGGGGGTTTGGGGGGCAGTAAGGGGCACCAGCAGGGCGGGGGGGTGTTTTGGGGCAATGAGGGGCACTAGCAGGGCTGCAGGGGGCTTTTAATTTTAATAACAGATTTTGGGGGGTTTATCAGAAAGCCGGGATCCTTGCATGACAAGCAATGCTCCAATACAGCTGAATGTAATACATGACATGTATACACGTCTCAGTCAGACAATCTCATTTTGCAATTCCACCATCTAGTGGCAATGTGTTGGTAATGCTACTAACAGCAGCATTTGTAATACACACATTTTCCCTGGAACCTAGAATTGGGCATGGTCTGTAGGGTTTGAGTCCACATCTCAGACCCTAGAGATCCAACTTTCATAGCAACCAGAAAGTGCTGTTACTGGAGTCCTAATAAAATGAAGCAAAGCAAATCCAGCTGACATTCTTAAAGAGACTTGTATAGTTTACCTAGGAAACACAGGATATATTTGTTGTATTCCTTGGTCTGTTGCCATCTTACCCTTTAATTTCCCCTTCAGCACCTATTGGGAGAGCCAGGTTATGGGTGTATTACAAACCTCTCCATGCCATAAATCTGTCATGCGGTTGGCTGTAGGTGTAGACAGAGTAATGAAGCTCCCCTCCATGAAGCAGAGTAGCATAGAGTTGATTAGAGTCACTCCCCCGTCCCCATTATTTTTAATTACTTCTTGATCTGTTTTTTGCTCGGGGAACAATTTCTTTGCCTCATATGAAGGACTATAATTTGGTCTCCAGTGCAGCGGACTGTTTTCCACAGTACTGACAACAGTTAGAAGAGATCCAGTGTGGTTAACCCTCTCATTCTGTGGCCTATATTACCAGTTCTTACTGATTCTTTTTTGTCTTTTGTCTGTCATTCTGTATGTCCTTTATTTCTAAACGGTTTCTTTTTTTTTGGCTAAATAGTTTCTTTTAAAATGTGTTTTAATTCCTGGCCATGATTTTTGGAGTTTACTTATTTAATAAAATGAGATTGAGAAGAGATCACAGCAAAACAACTTTTCATTTTGAGGCCTGATCTAGTGAGCTGGTGCCTATACAGCAAAGTCTTCTTGCAGTATCTCTGTTCTCTTTTACCAGGACAACTGACAGTTCCAAAATTAAGGCTTATACTGCACACTCTGCTTTCTCTAGCTTCTCTCCCTTATTAAATTTCTTCCATGATCTACTTCCATACACCATCGGAAATCTTTTCTTATCTAATTACATCTCTATATGGAGGCTACTTTGTATGTATTTAAAAAAGAGAGAGGTAGTATTTCATTGCTTGTTGATAGAATTTTGAAGCTATGGTTAATGAGCCTTTTATCTGTAATATCTATAAAAATTTAGTTTGTAAACAAAGTTATCATGAGTCATTTGATCTAGACTGTAGCTAGTTAGAGGTTTAAAAAGGGATTTGAATTCTGATACAATAAAATATAAATAACATCCTGTCTTGAAACAGCATGGCAGAAACTTTGTGAAATCTTTTGGAGCCACTATCTTGGACCTAAATCTCATGTACACCTCCTCTTTTTCATATGAGTTAAGCATGTCCAAGTGAGGGTTCAAACAGAGATTCTGTAAATATATATATATATATGTGTCAGACTTGCTTACAGTTCATTGGTTTGTCACTAGCAAGTATCATTTGGACTCACTTTTAACTAATAACTTACTGATGTGTAATTGCTTCTAAATTGATACACCCCTGAGCAAGAAGATCTAAGAATGTGTCAGGTAAAATAGGGAGTGTGTCCCTGTAGCATACATGTCCACCTTCCTAATAATTATCTTGTTATTCTTCCTACTTCTGGCCCTTGGTGCATGTTAAGAGTTCTGATTCTGTTAGACTGCTTGAGAATCAGTGCATAACTTTAAAGCTGATGTGTAAAGGGTAGAATTTTTTTTTTTGAGAGAGAGACCAAAATCCACCCCAGGAGAATGAATAGCCCACTGGTACTGGCTAGGTCACTCACCTGAGATGTAATGGCTTAAGTCAGCTCCATTGACTGAGGAGGTACAAAGTCTAGGGCTTTGAAGAGATCCAACATTCAGCTACTTCAAAAAGGAAGGGAGAGGAATTGTTGTGTAGGAATGCACATCAGCTGTTACTGTGGTATTCTTGTGTCTTCATGCTCTTGCAGTAATACGAGTGAGCTAAATACTGTAATTTTCACCCTGAATGAAATAGGTGTAAGGTGGCAATGGCTTTGCTGCATGCGCATGATTTATAGAAACATGCAGAAATAACAGTTACACTGTAACAGTTTATGCTGTTATAGCTGTTCCATCAGACTACAATCTGATGTTGGGTAAGACTGTGAGAGTTTGTGTTAAACTAGCACTAAAACTCCTCTCACTATTAATTATTCTGGAGAGCAAATGGGAAAGTGTTACATGCATGGGGATTAAACAGTAATTCAGATAAGAGGGAGCTTTGATTATGTATGTGTGGAATAAATAGTTTTGTACAGAACATGTTTACACAATACCATAGAAGGAACTGAGACTGTAGAATTCAAATAGGCTGGAGGCAGGTGTCGATAACCGGAGCCAGTTCAAGGCTTGTTTTGAGAAAAGTCCCTCTTGCTGAACTGTTCTGCCTGCTTGCCATTCCATAGGAGAGCTGATATGTATTGTTCAGTCAAGCTGTGTTCAGAACAACAGACACAAGTTTCCTGGGAATTGAGCTCTATTTATAATGGCTTAATAATAATAAATAATCAGTTGCAAGTATACCTACAAAAACAGCTCTTATAAGTCATTTGTAGGACAAAGCAGCCCAAGATAGACTAAACCAATTAATTGCACCTAAAGTTGTGATGGGGCCACACGTTCAATCAATGAATGGCATGATAAAATGAGGAGTAAACTACAAAGTTATTCCACAGAAAAAGTTAAATTAATTTGTGGCTTGTTCCTATCATGCCATTAATTGAATGTGTGGCCAGGTGCTCTTTTGAGGCTGGGAGCTTGGTGAGGCTTCTGCCATATAGGTGCACCATGTGCTTCCATGGCTGGGAAACCACAGTTGATGTTGCTTGCAGCTGAGTGGGGAGAGCAGCCCCATGTGTTGAGCAGGGAGCTCCCCCTGCACAAACAATAAGATGTGATTGAATCTGATGCTGGATTCCATGTACACATGTGGCATGGCAGAAGGCACAATTGTGTGGATCACACATCAGATCCTATCACACCTTTACCTGAACATCATCCAGCAGCCTAAGTTTTGTAAAACAGCAAACTGTAGGCCTCCAATTATACAGCATCCCACATATCCCCAACAGTAATCTTTTACCTTCCCTCCTGCCAGCAATACAGATGTGCACACAGTGGCATCACTGCTCAAGCTGTATCTAAGAGAACTCCCAGAACCAGTTATTCCCTATGCAAAACATGAGGATTTTCTTTCCTGTGCCAAGCTGCTCAGCAAGGAGGAGGAAATGGTGAGTTGGCTGCCTGGTCTGTAATTAATGAAAAGGTTGGGGTTTTGTAATAAGAGAAGAGAGCCAGAGTTAGTCCTTTCTATTCCCCAGCCTCTAAATTAGTAAGACTTAATAATGGCTTGGACCTTTCCTAACTAAGAGATTACCTGTCTCCTGAGCCATTTATCTATTGCTGCCAGAAGGCTGGGAAAGTCCATCTTCCTTGATTTAAAAGAGTTGTGGACAATTTTTATCCTGTGTTAATACTGTCTCAGCTGCCTGATTGTTAGAGCATTCAACTAATTTTTTTCAGCCTGTTATGTTGGATTCTCCTGCTGCGCAAGTTACAAGTAATGTTAGTATTCATCTAAATAGCTGTTTATCTTCTCACTTCCTTTTTCTAGCACCCAGCCAACAACTATTTATGGTATCATGATCATGTTTCCATCCTGAATTACACTGAAATCAAACAACCTGGAACAATGCCAAAGGCTCGGCTGAACCAAAATGCACTGGTAGTAGGACCTTATCTAGGGTCTATTTCCTATGGGCACAGAGGCCAAATTCATGATGTTATGGTTCTTCTCAATCCACTGAGGGCACAGACAGAAATAATCATTTGCTTGTCTGATGCTGGTATAGACTACAGCCATCTGGGATTTTTCAGGGATTTTTTTTTTTTTAATATGAATATGCCAATTTGCCAAAATGGAAACTTTTCAACTTTCCAAGACAGATTTTTTTTTGTTGTTGTCTGAGAGAAAAACCTCTGATAGCCAATAATCCAGTGGTTACAGCTCTCACTGGGGATGTGGAAGACCCAGGTTTAAGTTCTTTATTAGACTTTAGAAGAGCCTGAGCTTGAATGTTGACCATCTGTTTCAGGTGACACAGAATGAGTGAGCATCCCTCTCTCTCTCTCTCTCTCTCTTTTGAAGTAAGAAGCCGGGGGAGATGGATCTTAGTTTTGTCCAATATGAAACTAATTACTAGAACATTTTTGAAACCCTGAAAATTTTCATTGGGCAACAAAGTGGTTTTCTTAGCCAGCTCTGGTATATTCCTTGTTAGGCAGCCCAAAGATTGCTTTGCCCACACAAAACAGCTTCTGTAGGCAAGTAAGCATAATTTATCTGGTGCTGATATGAGTAGTTGTCCTACTTCATTTTTTTAGCGTATTCTATTTTATTAATACTACAGACCAGACTCAACTATGTTCTTAATATTGTAATGATTAAGATTGATTTTGTTGAATGCTAAATACTGAGAGCCTTTTGAGTTCTTTCTTTTTATTTACACAGGGGCTGAAGGAATTAGTGAAGCAAGTACAGAGTCTTCCACCTGTTAATTTCAATTTGCTGAAGTACATCTGTAGGTAAGTGCATTTGCAGGAATGTCCTCAACATGTTTATTTCTCTGACATGCCAGATATACTTGTGTCTCTGTGTGAATGCATCAAAGGAAAAAGTTTGATAAAGAAAGTCACAGTGTTGGTAAATTTACATTAATGCAATTACAGTTTTGCTTACTAAACTATTACTAACTTATTCTGAAGTTGCACAACTATAAGTGGAATTAATTAACAGCCCAGAGCTAACAACAAAGGCAAAGAGATGTAATTGGGTAAAGGAGTGTCAACTCTTAGCTGCATATTAAAGGAAAATCAAGGCTGTATTTACAGCTCTTAATTACCTGCTACATTTGGAAAATTCCTGGAGCTATCACTACTCAGTGCTTCTTCTCCATGTTCTCTTATTGTTTCACTGGCTCTTAAAACCTTTGAACTGCAACTGTTCATCTCCTCTGTGTCAAAAGTTAATTTTTCATCTAGTGGATTTTCTGATGTTAATTGAATCAAACCAAACATTATCATATTAATCTTTCCAAATAGGACAGAATTAATACTAGCTCACTGTACTTTGCTTAGCCTTAAATGAGAAAAATATCAGTCAAATAAGCATAAAAATTGAAATGCATCATGACATTTAAACTTCCCTCTTTTCCTTACTTAATGAGAAAAAGAGAATATAATATATTATAATATAGTATAAAGACTTCTGGCACAGGATACTATTAGAACAATATTTTATCATAAATGTCTTTCTCACCCCAAACAATTAATTTTAATGGTAAAGCTGTTTGTTTTTTGGTTACTATCAATTTCTAATGGCATACAGTTAATTGATATACACTTGTGAATGGGAACCTTGAGATAAAATATAGCTTTTCATCAAATATAGTTTTGATGGAGTTTATTACATGTATCCATTTTTTTTGGTTAAGAGCTTGTTTTGTTAGGAGCTATCAAAAATGTAGTTATTACTTAGGCTTTAAAACTTAGCATATAATATCAGAAAATTTAAAAACTATATAGGGAGGACACATGCAAAATAATTCCCATTGTTGATGAGTCCCATGACAGGTACCAATTAACTGGAGAACTGGAAGCCTATTAGAGCATGTTTTTCAGTATCTCTCCCCCAATCTTGCATTCTCTCTATGAACTACAACCCCCCAGAATGCCATGGTTTAGAAATGCAAAGTTACAGGACAGTGATGCTCCTAGTTAAAGGATCAACATGCCCTCTTGCACTAAGGTATTGAAGATCCTTCCATTTCTTTGCTTCAGACGTCTCATCCAAGATCCTTTCTTCTCTTCCCTAAAAGTCTTTCAAGACATGAAGGACAGGATCTTATCTGTGTAAGCTCCAAGGAGTTGTGTGTCACAGCCCTGGTCTACAATGCCTGCATGCTGGGCCTGAAGGCACTTCCTTGAATCATGCCTTGCTCATTCACTCCCACTGTATGCACCAAATCCCAGAAATGAGGCATTTTAGCTACTTTAGAGCAGCTTTGTGTGTGTACCAGACAGAAAGCCTAAGAGTAGAAGCTTTCCAAGGCAACTACATTGCCTTATTTTCACGAGTTGGGTCCCATGGATGGAGTATGGATGACTGGGTGGAGCATACATGGCACGGTTCCCAGGCACAGCAAAGACTCAGTGTAGAAATTCTCACCATAAGCCATGCATGATGGAACATAGTAACTTTCTACAGATAAGACCCTCACCTTCACCTTCATGACACACACAGCATTACATGTGTACTGGCAGGAAGCTCCAGTGCAGAAAAATTTCTGGACTCACTACAGAACATCTTTCATACCAAGTTCTTAGTTTCCCAGGAAATTCCTTGCAAAAATGCTGGTGTAAGGCACTGATTCACTTTTCTTTACCTCAAGGCTGCCTTTTTTCTACTTCTAACAGATTCCTGGATGAAGTCCAATCGTATTCTGGTGTAAACAAAATGAGTGTGCAAAATCTAGCAACTGTCTTTGGTCCCAACATCCTGCGCCCAAAAGTAGAAAATCCTCTGACCATCATGGAGGGTAAGTTAAAGGAAAGGGGATCAACGCTCCAAGTGGGAAAGAAAGAACTTTTGCTTGTTAATGTATAGACAGAGATTTACTTTCACTAAGTGCGATGCAAAATTTGCTTCTGTACAGGAGAGTGAAATTTCCACTGTGGTGCTTCAGACACTTCATCAAAGGCAGCTTAATGTAATACATGGCTTTACTCTGAAAAGTGACTCTAAAAACGGCACCTTCTTCCTCCAAGATCTGCTCCTACTGGAACTGGAGTTGAATCTGCAGATTTTAGTGACCAAAATATACTTACTGCTTTATGTTCCTGTAAAATTGAGAGAGACACAAGGGAGTTGCTGGATTTTTCTCCTTTTTATGCAACTACAACACTATGTTCCAATTGCCTGTACCTTTTGAATTCATCCACAGCAGTGAGGTGTCACAGACAGAAAGTTGTAACATGACAATGCCATTTTATACTGTTGCCTTCACAGCAGAGTATAAACAACCCTGCTAGAACACCTGTCATCTTATTAATATTTAAATTACAGTAGCACCCAAAGATGCCAGTCTTAGTTAACTTATGTCTGAATCAAAATATCAGTACTACAACTCTTTATTGAAGCTGGGGGAAGGGAAGGATTAAAATAACTGAAAATCCAGCTCATACATTTTAGCCAGTTCTCATGTATTTTAAGCTCTTGATATTTGGTTAGGTCAGTCTTTGCATAGGATCACAGGACTCTGGGAAAGTAGGGCTGGAAGGGACCTCATGAGTAGTACAGCACTCAAGGCACAATCGATTCAACTAAACTATCCCAGTCAAGTGTCTGTCTAATCTGTCCTGTCCTTCACAACTTATGCTACACTTCAGACAGGGAACAACTAGCCTTGAACAAAACAATCTGTTTCATTTGTGATAAATATCCATGCATAAATCCAAGTGTTTTGACCAGGGTGTCTAGAGTTGTCTGGGAAAAAAAACTGTCTACTTCCACAACGAACTGTAAGACCTGGTCTCATAGATCTTTTATGTACACAGCTTCCAAAGAAGGCAGTAGTACTTAAATATTTGAAAGGATGCAGGATTCAGACAATAGCTGTTTGCTGTGAATGAAATAAAAATGTCATCACAAGCAAAACTGGAATCTTAAGAATATTTATCCTAGGTTTAAATTTCTTCTTCTCCTCATTGTTCTTTTTGGCTCCTTGTCAAAATCTGCCCTCCTCTGTTTCTGTTCTGGGGAAACTGCATGCTCTTCACTTAGAAATCAGCTGTAAAATACAAAGGTCCTACAACACATGTTCCCCAAAAGGCAAGAATATTATGAGGAAAGAAAAGATGGTTTTGTTTTAAGGAGTTTTCCTTTGGCTTGGTTTTGTGCTTGTTAAAAAAATTTCCTCCATAGCTTAAACATGAATGTTTCCCAAAACCAGTGGCACCTTGGCTGTGTAGATATATTAGCCTTGCCATCCTCAGCAGCAGTGCCCCCATGCTTGCTGTGCTTCTTCAGATAAACTGAACTAAACTGGGCACCATATAGCACTTCTGTGTGGGCCTTTGAGCAAGCTAATTGGCACCACTGTGACACTGCCAAGTCAAACACTGATAAACATATTAGCCCTTTTGCAGTGCTCTGTGGATGTGACATCCAGTTTAAGAGGCAGCCTACTCAGAGCAGGGTAGTAGGCATGAGGCACAGCAAATCTGCTGCGTGGATGTGGCTATTCTGAAGCCTTTAATCTCTGATACAGCAGCCCAAACAGTTGAAAATAATCTTGAATCCAGCATTTCCAATTCACATAAGAAAGGCATATCAAGGCATTCATTCAGAACCAAGGGTTGAGGGTCAAGGCAGAACCTTTTAAAGAATTGTCTTCATTTCAGTCCACATCTCAGTTCTTTTCTTCACAGTGATGTGTGAAATGAAGCACAGAGAATAATGATCGGTTTAAATTTGGTTTAAAAATTGTGCGCCAAGTGCCTGCTACTTCAGGTCTTTATTGAGAGCAGACCCCTAGTTTATATGCTCCAGTGGCTGTCACTGTGTAGGCATAGACAAGTGACCCTCAATATGTCTGTGTGACTGCAAGTAGGACAGAACAATCCCATGCACGGTACAGGTTAGGGATTGACAGGCTAAGCAGCAGCTCTGCAGAAAAGGACCTGGGGGTTACAACTCAACATGATCCAGTGTGCCTTTGTTGCCAAGAAGGCTAACAGTGTACTGGACTGCATTTGTAGGAATGTTGCTAGCCAATGGAGGGAAGTGATTATTTCACTCTATTCAGTACTGGTGGGGGACACATCTGGAGTACTGTGTCCAATTTTGGGTCCCCCACTACAGACAGTATGTGGACAAATCGGAGAGAGTTTAGTGGAGGGTAACAAAAATGGTTAGGTGTCTGGGACATATGAGTAGAGGCTGTAAGTGAACTGGGTTTATTTAATCTGGAGAAGAGAAGATTGAGGGGGGGATTTAATAGCAGCCTTAAATTACTCAAAGGGAGGTTCTAAAGAGGATGGAGCTAGACTGTTCTCAGTGGTAGCAGATGACATAACATGGAGCAGTGGTCTCAAGTTGCACCAAGGGAAGTTTAGGTTAGATATTAGGAAAAACTCTCTTATGAGGAAGGTAGTAAAGCGCTGGAAAAGGCTACCTAGAAAGGCTGTGGAATTTCAATCCTTGGAGGTTTTTAAGACCCAGTTAGACAAAGCCCTGGCTGGGATGTTCTAGTTGGGGATGGTCCTGCCTTGAGCAGGGGGGGTTCATAGACATCATAGACATCAGGGCTGGAAGGGACCTCGGAAGATCATGGAGTCCAGCCCCCCGCCCAAAGGGCAGGAAGTCAGCTGGGGTCATCATCAAATCCAACCCCCTGCCAGGGCAGGAAAGAGTACTACAGTCGAACGACGCCAGCAAGGTGTTCATCCAGCCTCCTCTTAAAGACCCCCAGGGTAGGAGCCAGCACAAATTCTCTTGGAAGTTGGTTCCAGATCCTAGCTGCCCTGACAGTGAAGTAGCACCTCCTGATGTCTAGTCTGAATCTACCCTCTGCCAGCTTGAGCCGTTATTCCTAGTCACTCCTGGTAGTGCTCGGGGGAACAGGAACTCCCCCAATGCCTGCTGGTCCCCTCGGACTAGTTTGTAAACGGCCACTAGATTCCCCCCTCAGCCTTCTCTTGTGGAGGCTGAACAGGTGCAGGTCCCTTAGCCTCTCTTCGTAGGTCTGCCCTGCTGTCCCCTGACCATGCGAGTGGTCCTCCTCTAGACCCTTTCCATGTTGTCTACATCCCTCCTGAAGTGCAGCACCCAGAACTGGACGCAGTACTCCAACTGCAGCCTGACCAGTGTCTCATAGAAGGGGAGGATCACCTTGGACCTGCTTGAGATGCATCTGTGGATGCATGACAAGGTGTGGTTGTCCTTCCTGACCGCGTACCCACACTGTCGGCCCATGGTCAATTTGGCATCAATAATGACTCCAAGATCCTTTTCTGCTTCTGCACTGACAAGAAGGGAGTTCCCCAGCCTGGAGGTTTGCTGCTGGTTCCTCCTCCCCAGGTGCAGTACCTTGCACTTGTCAGTGTTGAAACCCATCCTGTTCTCATCTGCCCACCCCTGTAACCTGTCTAGGTCTGATTGCAGCCTATTCCTCCCTTCTAGCATGCCCACTTCCCCCCACAACTTAGTGTCATCTGTGAATTTGAACAGGGTGCTTTTTACCCCCTTGTCCAAGTCGCTGATGAAGATGTTGAATAGTGCGGGCCCAAGGACTGAGCCCTGTGGAACCCCACTGCCCACATCCCTTCAGGTCGAATAAGACCCGTCCACTACCACTCTCTGGGTGTGGCCTTCCAGCCAGTTAGTGACCCATTTGACTGTGTAGGGGTTGACGCCACAGTCCCTTAGTTTTTTAATGAGACTGGCATGAGAGACAGTGTCAAAGGCCTTCCTAAAGTCCAAAAAGACTACATCCACTGCTACCCCTGTGTCTAAGGATTTTGTGACCTGGTCATAGAAGGCCACCAGGTTGATCTGACAGGACCTGCCTCTAATGAAACCGTGCTGGTTGCCCCTAAGCATAATCTTCCCTGCTGGCCCCTCATGGACATGCGCCAGCATAATTCTCTCAAAAAGCTTACCCAGGATCGAGGTAAGGCTAACTGACCTATAGTTGCCTGGGTCCTCCTTCCTCCCTGTTTCTTGAGTTATCTATACATTTTGGTCAACTGTAAACCTGACATTTTCCCTACTCTATGCAGGCCACCACACATCCTCTGCCTCCTCTCTGGGGCTGACTCTCTTGCCCCCCTCTCACTGGGGCCTCCAGGGTCTTGCACCCCATGGTGCTCAGTCGCCTCTCTTTAGGTGTGCCTGGGCCCTGTGCCTGTCCCTAATATGGGGTTACTCACCAGACTGTGGGGGCTGTGGTTATAATGCACCCCTCCCTGCCTTTGACTAGGGAGGCAACTGGCCTGGCATTTCTGGGGAGCTCCCCCACCCCAAGTAGCCCCACCAGGCCATGCTTCCCCAGCAGGGTGAAGAGCAGCTCAGCCAGGTATTATTCCTTCAGCTGCAGCAACAGACTGCTGCCCCAGTCCTGAGAGCTTGGATCTTAAATGGAGGCAGCTCAGCCCTCTCCTCCTATCCCAGGGCTATCCTGAAGTCATGTGACTGCCTCATTAGGGCTAACTCGCACCTACAGGCTGCTCTGCTGCCTCCTCTCAAACCTTAAAGTGGCAGGTACCAAAGGTGCCCTGCCATTAGCACCATAGGTGAACTGCACTGCTCTGGTCATTTTAAGTGTGTCCTCTTCATTCTTATGCCATCATTTCCCTCAGGAGTTCTGCATGTTGTATGTGGAATACACACTGGTCAACATTACCTTTTTTATGTGACTCTAAGACAACTCTGAATTTAAAGTGACCCCCCTCACCCCAACAATGAGATACTTGATGTGGGAAATGTTTATAATTGTTATAATTGTCCATGTCTAGAATCAAATTTTTGAAAGATTGT